ATTCTATTCTATTCTATTCTATTCTATTCTATTCTATTCTATTCTATTCTATTCATCTGCCCTCTTAACCAGGAATCTTTGCTTAAAGGAAGATGGTTTTTAACCTGTATATGATTTATCTTTAAATGAGAGAATTTCTTGAAAATCTGGTAATACAGGCAAATGAGGGGTTTTTCTGGCTTGCTTCCTTTAAAGGAAGTATCATAAAAATGTAGAAATCTTTTCTTATATCTTGTTATTTATTTTTCGTATTTGTACCTGCTCATTCTCAGAAAGGCTTTCTTGGTAAATATAGTACCAACAGTCCCTATAATGGTCTGTTCAGAACCTGATAAAGATTTGTGACATAGTCTGGAAAATAATGACAGTCCTTTGTTATTGAGGAAAATAATAATTATTAATTCACAAGAAAGTACTTAGAAAAGACTATCTCTGCTCTAATGAACTAAAAAGGGTACATTGGATCCTAAATTAAACCCAGTTGCTGAAATTTCTGTTCAATAATCTTATAAATTTACCCTATCAATAAATCTTGTAGAAGAAAACTACGACAATCTACATATCCTCAGCAGTCAGAGAATGGGAAGTAATTTCTTGGAAACCTTCAACCAATATTCCTTGAAACTTTATATTAATTTCTTTATATACAGACAGTCCTCAATCTACAACCCCAATTGAGCCCAAAATTTCTGTTGCTAAGTTTGTTAAGTGAATTTTGTCTAATTTTATGAACTTTCTTGCCACAGGTGTGAAATTAGTAACATGACTGTTAAGTTGAGCTGAAGAAGCTTCTTGGATAAGAAGCAAAACATAGAATAGAATAATAGAGTTGGAAGGGACCTTGGAGGTCTTCTAATCCAACCCCCTGCCTAGGCAGGAAACCCTACACCACATCAGACAAATTGTTATCCAACATCTTTTTAAAAACTTCCAGTGTTGGAGCATTCACAACTTCTGGAATCAAGTTGTTCCACTGATTAATTATTCCCGCTATCAGGAAATTTCTCCTTAGTTTTAGGTTGCTTCTCTCCTTGATTCATTTCCACCAATTGCTTCTTGTCCTGACCTCAGGTGCTTTGCAGAATAGCTTGACTCCCTCTTCTTGGTGGCAGCCCCTGAGATACTGGAACACTGCTATCATGTCCCCCCCATGTCCTTTCCATTTCTTCATTTCATCTTCAAAGAAAGTCCAGTTACCTATTGAAAAAGCATCATTGGGACAACCATGATCTGGAATCATGGAGAATCTCCATAGACATGATTGTTAAGTGAATCTGGCTTCTCCATTGACTTTGCTTGTCAGAAGGTCTCAAAATGTGGCTCCAGGACACCGCAACTATCACAAATATGAGTCAATTGCCAAGCATCTGAATTTCAATCACATGATCATAAGGATACTTCAACGGCCATGTGAAAAACAGTCATAAAGTCACTTTTGTTAATGCCATTGTAATTTCAACAGTCACTAATTGAACTGTTGTAAGTCAAGGACTACTTGTATTTCAGAGGTGGTATTCAGCCAGTTTTGACAGGTTCTGGAGAACCGGTAGCGGACATTTTGAGTAATTTGGAGAACCGGCAAATCCCACCTCTGACTGGCCCCGCGAACCCCATCTCTTCTCTGCCTCCCGAATCCCAGCTGATCGGCTGGATCTTCTTTGGTTGCTCTGCTCAGGAAAACGGAGCTGGAAAGCAGGTTAGTGGGGTGGGGAGGGAATGGGGATTTTGCAGTATCCTTCCCCTGCCACACCCACCAAGCCAAGCCACTCTCACTGAACCGGTAGTAAAAAAAAAAAATTGAATCCCACCACTGTTGTACTTCATTATTTTTATAAATAACTCAGGGCGGCAAGCATACCTACTACTTCTTCCTCTCATTTTCCTCACAAGCACCACTTTGTGAGGTGTTGGACCCAGAGTGTGTCACTGGCCCAAATTCCACCAGACAGTTTTATTATCAAAACATATTTAATTATATATTATTGTTAAAACAGAAGCATTTGAAATCAAATACCACTGCTGAAAACCAAATAATTTTTAATTAATTTGTACTCCATCCCCAAGATGCTACCATAGAAATAAAGGTGGATCTCATTTAGCGACTACAATCAGGACCAGTGACTCGGTTCTTAAACAAAGTGGTCACTAAATGAAACTACAACCGTGCTTGCAATCCAACTTCAGCTTTCTTTTGCTTTTGAGGAGTGAGAAGTTGCAAAGTTAACTTTTTCATCCCCGTCCTGTGAACTGTCACTTTATGAGGCAGTAACTCAATGAGGATTACCACCCGTAATGAAAAGTGCAAAAAGAAAATCTCAGCTCAACTTTAGTGGAAAAAAATAATCACAGAAATAAAGCCTGAATTCCAAGCTAACCACTTCAAAGGACCTCAACGTAAATGCAAATTAAGAGGAGCAAGTCTCTTGTAAACAAAAATATGAAATATCCACGATCCTTCTGGGATTTCCCCCCCCTGCAATCTCTCCACCGGCCCTCTAGATGGCGCTCTCTCCTCAGGCGCTTTTCACGCCAGCTGACCGCCGGGCTTCCCTGGTCTTCCCTTTCGCTCCCCCACCCCCCTCTCATCATCACCCCAGCCTCATCCTCTCCTCCACCACCTTCGTCTCCGACGGCCCTGCCTCTGCCTCTCGGATTTTTATTCCGCCGTCCCCTCCGCTCCGCCCCTTTCGGCTTCCTCGACCAGCCAATGACGGGCGGCTTCTCCACGTGATGGACGCTCGTCCAATCCGCGCAGCCAAGATCGGGTTGAAGGGGGAGGCCTCTAAAAGAGGGCGGCCAATAGCCTTGCAGGGGCGGAGCTCGCTCCCTTCCGACGCTCTCCTGCTCGCGGCCGCCATTAGAGAAGCGAGGCGAGACTGAGGGGGGAAAAAAAGATTGGTCGAAATAAGGCTCTGAGGGGAGGGAGTCGTCCGACACAGCCTGAATATTGAGAGCGGGGAAAAGGGGGAAAACGACGGCGGCGAACGGCATGGGGGAGACCCGCTGAAGGAGACGGCCGACTCGGCGAAGGCGGCGGCTGCGCAAGAGGAAGGCGGAGAAGGGCATCCGGCGCTCAGGATGCCTCGGCTGGGAAGCCGCCGACAGAGGCACCGCTGAGGGAAGAAGAGGAGACGCCGAGGAAGCGAAGAGGAAACGCTGCGCCGGCGGGGGGGCCCCCCTTGGATTTATTTTCTCCCAACCCCCCTCCCGAAGTCGTCTCCTCGGTCCTCACCTGTCAAAAGCCTTCGGGGGGAGGAAGCCCCAGAGCCCCAAATCGCCTCAGGAATTTTATTTTTTTAGGAAGAAGGAAAAAAGAAGACGCGAGGCGGACCCGGGTCTCTTTCGTCTTCCTTTTCGAGACGTTTATTTATATTGAAAAAAAAAAAGTCGGCTTTGAAAACAAAACAAAACCAAGTCTATAACCCCCCCCCACCCTCTTATTTTGAAGGGGGGCAACCCCAGAGCCCTCTCCGTCTCAAACGTCTCTGGAGGATCGATCAATACATAAATATCTGGAAAGGAGAAGATATCCCTCCCCCCATATCGTTTCTGAAGGGGGAGAAGCAGAGCAAGAGCCTTTCCAGGGGCTGATCGTTATTCCAGAATTTTCTTTTCCTTTTTTTTTTTTTTGGCTTTAAATACATAGTAACTGGAGGAATTTCCCCTCGTCCTCTTTTCAGCTTCTCTTCCCAGGTGTGAAGAAGAAGAAAAAAGTTTCATTGTAGATTTTTTTTTGGGGGGGGAGGGGGGCTGGGGAGCCTTGAGGAAGAAGGAAAGGCTTGTGGAAGAAAACTTGCATTGGCTCCCCTGCCTGGAAAAAACAAGGGGCGAAGTTTAAAGGAATTACCCAAAAACAAAGAAAGTAACAAAAAAAAAAAAAGCTTGTTTCCAGTACTTGGAAACGGGGGGTGGGAAGCTAAAAACCCCCTCACATCCCATCCCGGGGCAGCAATTCCTGCAAGAATTCATTGCACGGAAAAGAAAAAAAACCTGAACAGAGGACCTTTCGCGATTACTTTTATTTTTTTTTTGTATAATTTTGGAAGAAGATCCACTCTTCTCTCTCTCTCTCGGCGTTTCTTTTCTTTTTTTAAAAAAGGAAGTTTCTTCTTGGCCTCTTTGCAGAAAGGAAATCAAGGGGAGCCGAATTAGTTGCTTTCTATCTGGGAAATTCTTTTTTCACTTTCCAAAAGTTATTTGTGGGGGGAGGAGGGCATTTGCTTTTTCGGAGGTAAAACGAATTTGGCTTGTTTCTCCTCTTTTGGAAGATTTTTTTTTTTTTGGGGGGGGGGGGAAAGCAAGGAATCCACCATCACCCCATTGTGATATTTTCATCGAAGCTTGAAGGGAGCCACTGTATCTAGGACAAGGAGGGCTTTTTGTTGTTTTTTGGATAAAACATCGCAAGAGAATCGGAGAATTGTGATTCTCCTCCCTTTTTTTTGGGAGGGGGGGGGGAGAAAGCATCTTGGCCTCTTAATTCGAGGGGGGGGGGGAATCACCTTCCTGGAAACGGACTTTTTTTTTTTTTTGCTCTCCCGACTCCAAAAGAAAAGAAAAGAAAAAACACCCCAGCAGCAAAGGAAAACTCCTTTCACCCGGACTGGAAAACCAAACACCCAGCCCTGGATTTCGCTTCCATGGGAAGTCGGAAGATTTTCAAGGCGGCTCCTTGTTTAAAGAAAAAAAAAAGCGGTGGAGAAAAAACAACGCAACTCTGTGTCAAGCGTCGTTAAAAAAGAACTCTCTTTCCCTTAGGAAGCCGAAGGGAAACGGGGGCTTGCAAAAGAAGTCGCGACGGGGCCGACTCAAAGTGGAAGTTCCCTCCTCCTCCTCTCCTGCCAGGCTCCCCGAGCGTCCGAACCGGGCCAGCGGCCGGGGGGAGGCCCGAGGCAGCTCGGAGAAGCTCGGCCCTGCTGCCTTCGGCTCGCCTTGCTTCTCACGCCGCCGCTTTTTTCTCTCTCCTTTTTCGCGTGTGGCCGTGTTGTCTTTCTTGCAAATCCAGGGTGACGGGAGAAAAACGAGGCGCTAAAGGGAGCAGCGGGCTCGATTCCTGGATTACTTCACACCCGCCCTCCTCCTCCTTTCCCCTCCTCTCTTTCGCTTGCTTGCTGGCTGGCTGAAGACCGTAAATCTCTCGCCTTTTGCCAGCCCTTTTGGATTCACTATCCTTCCCCGCCCAACCCACCTCCAAGCTTTCGCCGGCCCTCTCCTTGCCTCCGCGGATTTATTGTTGTACCTTTTCCTGGCCGGGAGGCTTTGAAATTTCTTTTCTTTCGTTTGGAAAAATCCCTTCCTTCCTTCCTTCCTTCCTTCCTTCGGGTTAGCTTATTTCTTCCTGCTCCGGGCAGTTCCGTCAACCCCTTCTCTTTCTCTCCCTGCAGTGCGTGTGTGTGTGTTTTAGAAAAGGAATTAGGCCCGTTCTGTTCTCTCTCTTCCCCCCCCCCCCCCCCATCACACCGCCCCATCCCTCCCTCCCTCCCTTTGATTGTGTCTCCCTCCTTCTCGGTCTGGTGTGGTGTGGTGTGTGTCGCTCTCGGCTCCTGTCTCTTGTCTTTTCTTTCTTGTCGGAGGCTTGTGGGATAATGGCGTGCGGGTTGTGGCTGTGAGGATGAGTTCCTGCTTCGTGCCGAACGGGGCCAGCCTGGAAGATTGCCATTCCAACCTTTTCTGTCTGGTGAGTGTCTACTTTGTGTGTGTGTATATGTGTGTATATGTGTGTATATGTGTTTCTTGGGGGGGTTTTGGGTGGGGGGAGTGGGGAGGAAAGAGGCATTGAAGGGCAGATCGCAAGCGATAAACCGTGCAAGGGAAAGGGGGGGGGAGGGCGAGAGAGAGAGATGAGATCGCCAGCAAAGAGGAGGAAAAGAAGGTGGGGGGGTGGGAGAGAGGAATGGAAGCAAAGCAGCCATTTTTAGCATTCTGCTTGGAGGAGTCCTCTGGAAGTAGGCCGTAGCCAGGAGTCGCCCAATTCTCCCTATGCCGCCCCCCTCCCTCCTCCTTCCTTCTGGCAAGGCAATTTGCTTACAAGTCTCTTTTGCACTCTTCTTTTCTCTCCCAGGGCTTTCCTCCTTCCAGTCCTTTGTTTTTTATCACCTTGATTTCCCCCCCACCCTAAACTTTCGTTTTCTCTCCGGTCTCCTTATTTTTTGGTTGTTGTTCTTGTGGTTGTTGTAGGTGGTGACACTAGCAACACGATTTCTTGTGTGTTTATTTTATCTCGGCTCATTTTCATACTGTCCAGCCGAAGGCATGCATTTCCCCCCCCCCCCTTTTTTTTTTCTCAAGCTCACTTTTCTGCCTTCACCCCACTCCCCTAATAGTAGAACCCTACTCAGATGGGATATAAAGTGCCTCTGGGGGAGGGACCTTGTTATTTGTAGGCTCCAGATTTGTTTTTTGTTTTTTTAAAGGATGGATGAAGGGAAACCAACAACCCCATGCTCTTTTATAACATTGTTTTTTTCACACTCCGGTTGAGTTTCCTAGCCAGGGTTTTGACCTGTTTCTGGAGTTTTATTTAAATGATGATGATTGGTAGCTACTTTGACTGGTTGCTAAAAGTAGGTGAATTGCTGTGGATATATAGAGTTGGTGCAAGGAATTTAAGAAGCTGGAATCTTTCGGCAAGAACACGGGCTAGGCTGGCCCATTCTCAGAATTATCACTGTCCTGTTCATTTCTCTCTCTCCCCCCCCAATTTCAATTGCACCAACTGTTTCAAATTCTGTCACTGGAGAGAGTAGGGTTGTCCTTGCTGAGATTAAAGAAACAGGAAAAAAATTATATTTTTTGCTGAAAGGGAAGTAATGTATTGAATAGAGTGTGAAAGATAGTTGAAGTTGAGCCCAGGCAATTTCTGTAATAATGTGTAGACCCCATATGTGAAGGAACAGTGTGGTAGGTATTGCATAGCTGGAAGGAAGAGGTGGAAGGTTTCCTTAAAAAATTATTTTGAATTATGCTTCAAAAATGTCTTAGTTTATTTTGCTATCCTTTTCTTCTCTGTTCCTCTCTGGTAGAAATAGTAGCAGTTAATGCTTTCATTGGAATTCATGTATTTAAAGCTAGGTTGGTTCTGTTTAATTATGTCTCAAGTACTAAATAACTTTGCTAATGAGGGGCTTATGGCTGAGGTGTGTTTGCATTGCTGACAAATGGACAGACAACCTCTTTCTCTCTAGAGGTGCAGCTTCTTTATATGGGGATAATCAGTAGATACAACCAAATGAGAGCCAGCCATTCAGAGTAACCCTTTAGATGTTTTGACTCAGCTCTCTCAATACTTTATCATTAGACATGCTGACTGGACGACATGAGAATTAAAGTCCAAAATATCTGGAATGTGCCCTGGCATTATTGAAAACAATTTTTTTTTACATCCTAGAATGGAACTTTACTGTGTTTAAGTAACAACACTGCTGCCACTGATTTTATGGAGCACAGATTGACTAAATGAAGTTTCTATGGCTTCAAATGTTTATTACCCACAAGACAATTATTTTGTAATTTCTAACGTGTCTTATGTGTTTCTTCACTAGAATAAGAAGAAAAAGTTTGCTTGAAATCACTAGAGCATTTCATAAAAAAGTTTGAAACTTTAAAAGAGAACATTTGATTCTTTCTGCTCTTAATATCTGTTCAATTTTTCTTTCAGGCTGACTTAACTGGGATTAAATGGAAACGATACGTATGGCAGGGCCCAACGTCTGCTCCGATTCTTTTTCCTGTAACGGAAGAAGATCCAATCCTAAGCAGTTACAGTCGTTGCCTAAAGGCCGATGTCTTGAGTGTATGGCGACGAGACCAAAGGCCTGGGCGCAGAGAACTATGGATCTTCTGGTGGGGTGATGACCCCAATTTTGCAGACCTAATTCATCATGAACTAGCAGGTAAGGCACGGATAGATAAGCTCTTGTATTTCTTTTGTGATGGTACCATTCTTCAAATGTAACATTTCCCCCTTGACTTTGTTTTGTTTTAATTATTTAATCCCACTTGGAAATTTTATTGCTAGTTTACTGGCTTTGACAGGCTTGGCTTTAAAGAAAGAGAGGATGAAACGTGGGTCCTTGCATTTGCTCATACAGTACAACAATACATACATCCAGATGATTATATTTTTTATATTTAAGCTCTGTGTAAGTGGGTGCCACTCTTTTTTACTAATGTTGGTCTATGAAGGGCTGTAGAGCCTGCTTAGTTCTGTGTGGAATTTTCATGTGGTTAAAACTGCCACAGCTTTAGTGAAGTAGGAAAGCAAGCAGGGTGGTAAAGGCCCACGTATATGTGCTTGGAATGTTGTGGCTTCTCTGAGAAAAATGTTGCAAGAGGATGTATGGATGGCTTTATTTCCATATCTGAAATTTGGTCTAGCCTTGTCTGCATTTGGAAATTGTGTTGAATTTACAGGTCTGGTCATGAGGCAAGTGGAAGTTTCGGGTAATTTGGAAGGTTATGTGTTACATCCATAGGAGAATTGTGTTCTTTCTTCCCCCATGGTTTTTCTTCTTCTTTCAAATGGAAGGTCTTTTTGGGTCAAGAGAAGTACTGTATTTAAAAAGAAAATGAGTTAGAGGAATAGATAGGATCTGTTTTGGCTGATCAAACTACCACCTTGAATGAATGGCTGGATATGTGTGCCTTTGTCTCAACAGTTTACCTACTTAGCATAAACAAGCTCTTAAACTGAGTTCTTGACATCTTTAGTTAAAAGGATTAAGTAGCAGGTGATGGCACCCTTCACTGGCTGATAGTATTGGCTACATGAACAAGTAGTCTGACTGGGTACTGTACATGCCAATTTATGTTCTTAATATAATTATACTAGTAATTGGTAGGAGTGAATAACGTGCATCATTTCACAGTTGTTTATGCATTAGTACATACTGCTGATTAATCCCCTTTTTGCTGTCAACAGTTTTCTCCCCAGGTTGTTGCAAGAATTAAGTATCTATTTAGGCTAAGTATCTATATTTTTAACTAGCAATGTGGATTACCTGTATGTAACTAAACAATAGGCAATTAAAAAAAACTCCAAACAAAAATAGTTGGAGGAAAAAAAAACTTGTAGAAGTTGGGTTTTGTGGAAACTTTCAAAATAGGCTTAGCAGATTTGAATTCCCTGAATTTGGTTGATGTAAAGTCTCCTGTGTCAGTAACTAATGAGTTCCTGAAAGTATTCTATATGGCAAGTACAACAAGAAATAAAATATTAAATCTTTCAGATAATATTTTAAAACAAACTGTATCAACCATGTTCATTGCATTTATTCTATTGAATCAAATATTGAAGTAACAAAAGCAGTACAGTTGAAAGGTTAAACAAGATTTGATAAAATAGTGGCAAAAATTGAGGAAGGAGAGGTTATAAATAGCCCAGAACAAGTTAATTTGTTGTGTTCTAAAAAGAGGGTTTTACTTTACATAGAAAGTGACGTGTTGGTTTAATCTGAAAATAAATCAGCATAGTTCAGCTGTGAAGCTGGGTATCAGTGGTCTTCAGAACACTTGGACATTCCCTCTAATTTTGGAAGCATCACCCTCCAAGCACTTACTTAAATATAGGCTATTTAAGCTATTTTTTCATCACCTATCCTAACAAAATGGGGCATGAGCTTGTCTTTGGCAGCAGCATGCTTTACATAAAGATGCTCATCAACGTTGAAATGTCATATTTAATCCTTGAAAAGTTAACATCTTCTATGTGCTTATACTATTTAATGTAACTTAAACATTTACATATTCTAACTGCCACACATATCAGACAGCTAGAGTTGCTTCATACAGATCCTCAGACTAAGACACATTAAGATATAGGAATGGGAATGTCAGTATCTTCTCATGTGATGTTTAAAGTTTTTAGGTTGTTGATGAATGTTCTTCCCCATGTACAGGTAGTCCTCGAGTTATGACCATGACTGAGCCCATAATTTCTGTTGCTGAGTGAGACATTTATTAAGATAAATTTGCCCCATTTTACAACTTTTCTTGACACAATTGTTAAGTGAATCAGTGCAGTGGTTGTTAAGGGAATCTGATTTCCCTATTGACTTTGCTTGTCAGAAGGAGGACCCAGGACACTGCAATCATCATAAATATGAGTCAGTTGTCAAGTGGCAGACGTTTGATCAGATGACCATTGGGATGCTGCAACAGTCATAAGCATGAAAACTGCTCATAAGGCACTTTTTCCAGTGCAGTTGCAACTTTGAATGGTCACTAAACGAACTGTTGTAAGTCAAGGACTGCCTGTAGGGTGTCCTCTTGGTTGTTTGGTATCGGGGGAGGGGGATCCATCTCATTGGCATCTTGGGAATTTTATTAGCA